GTGCTGTGTTATGTGTATGTGTTCGTGGAATATGACTTTCTGAAATGTCTTCTCTTCTCCCTTGTTGTTCTTTTTGGTTTCTTTTGATCCGGGGCTTGTGTCGTCACCTCTCTGCGTGTGCAGGGAATACATAGAAGCCCCCATTTCTTTGTTGGGACTGCTGTCTGTGCCTCGCTCTGGCCGGGAATAACAGACGCCAATAATAACAGACGCCGCGCGTGTACACAGACACACACGCACGCGCGCACAACAAGCGAAGGGGAAACCAACAAGAAAAGGGTGTGGAAGTGTGTCGGTGCTCTCATCTGTTACGGCGTTTTGCATTCGTCCGCGCAGTCGGATAGCAAGGCAGGTGGAAACGAAAAGAGAGGAAAGAAGGCAAAGACTCCAGTGGAGTGACCGAATATATTAAACAAACAAACAAAAAGGGAAATAAAAGTAAGAAATACAGCACAGGAGCGCCATTTAGCAAGGGGATAATAGCAGCAACAGTGAAAGTGGTCTTTTTCTGAAGACGCCTGTATACAGCAGCGATTATGACCTCTTATAGCGCTGAGGTGGTGACAGTAAGCGTCCCGACGACGGAGTTTTCCAGCGAGCATGGCAGTCATCGTCGCAAGCAGCAGCTGCAGCAACAACAACAGCGAGGCCAGTTCCCCGTCGCGCAATCTGTCCTGACAGTCCATATGCTGTACGACCTCCCGCGTGAGATGCAGCAGCTGGACCCCCGACGGGAGCAGCTCGAGATTGTCATCAAGCCTCTTGTAAGGTACGAGCACCGCGAGCGCCGCATCACGCACATCTCGCTCGGTGAACGCGTGATGCCGTTCTCCTCCTCCTCGATTCTCTTCAAGGGTGGCCGCTTCGTACTCGATCTCGACAACGTCACGACTCCCAACGCGACCACGACGGGTGGTGCGGGGGCTCCCGGATCCCCGGCGGGGTCAACGTGCGGGCGCTGGCATCCCGCGGACGACGACGACGACGACAACGAGGACAAAGACAACGACAAAGGGCAGCGCAGCGTGGTGCGGGGCAACCACATTTTGCTTCAGTACCCTTGTCCACGCGGCCTCACCACACTCGTCGACGTGCTGGTCGGCATACGGCAGCGGCGCGTAGGCTCCTCCGTCGTGCGCTGGATCACCAAGAGCCTGAACACCAACACCGTCGACGGAGCAGTGTACTTCTCAGTGGCCACAGAGGAGGTCAACAGAAAGAAGTGTGTCACGCGCGTGGTGGGCCTTCCAGTTGGTGGCGCGGTGTGCTCAGTTGCTGTGAACCAAGGCGACGACAGAGAATGCGTCGTACGGCGTCTCATGCAGGACATGAATCGCTACGCCGCAAAGTACGGCGCCAATGTACTCAAAAATTTTGACATATCAAAAATGCTGCGCGAGGGGCGCACAGAGCAGGAGATACATCGCGAGATGCTGCTGCTCGTTGACCCGGGCCATTATGTCCGGCGCCTGGAGGCCCTTCTCGCGTTGTATACATCAAATAATGCGGAGTGGCGGCAGACAGATCTGCTACTACGCGAATATGCGGGACGTGAGGAGGAACTTATGCGTCGTGCGGCAATAGAAATCGGGCCGGAGTGCTGTACTGTCTCTTCACGGCACCGTCTAATGGCGTTTCGTAAGAAGTACTCCAACGACGAACAGGATTTATTGGTGGACATGCAGTCTCTCGTGGACGGCAACTTCAATGAAATGCTGGATGTCGAGCCGGAGATTGTATTTGCAGCTCTGACGATGCGCGATAGGCGTGAGCCACGTCCTGCGTTATATTTGTTCCCTGCCCGAACATATACACCGGATAGACGTACCTTCTTCTTCGAGACACTTCACTTCCCCCTCAATCGGTCGGGTGAAAATTACCGCGATATGGCGCTGGCCTCACGCAGCAAACGTGCGCCGTTTACAATGTCACCATGCGAGCGGCCGTTGCATATAAAGAGCTCGAAAACGCGGCCCGGGAAGCCGTCGGGGGAAATTGAAATTCTTCGTGAGAAGTATGCACCAGAGTTTACGCAAATCGTCCCATCCATCGCGGATGCCCTGCAGGCGGTGGTGGAGCAGAACCGGCAGCTTGTTCACCCCTCCTTGGTAGATAATGGGTTCTTAATATTCCAGCAGCTGGGACTGCAGCCACAACTCAGATATCAAGACTTTGTCCACCGCACCGCGGAGTATACCTTCATATCTCCATCATCTTTGCTGGGGGCCCTCATATATCTCGACCGTCTATGCCTTCGGCACCCGAGCCTCATTATTACAGAGCGTAATGTATTGCGACTCTTCCTTACCTCGGTGCGTGTGGCTTCTAAAACTGTCGAGTTGCGCAGCATCAACAATCGCCACTTTGGCAATGTGTATGGGTTGGACGCAAAAACTATGAACCTCCTGGAGGAGGTGTTCGTCAAGCAACTGCAGTTTGATCTCTTTCTCTCTCCAGAAGAATTCGGGGAGTACTCGCGACTGCTGCAGCCGGCAAGCGCCTATCAGTTTCGCGCCTTTTCGAGCCAGCGTGGGTACTTGGACGCGCGGACGCTGGCGGACGAGGAATTACCACAGCTGCTTCTTGGTATTGATGGCTCGGAGAAGAAGTTAGCCGGTGGTGGTGGTGGTGGCAACGTAGGATATAACCGGTACCCGTGCTCATCAGATGCTCCTATAAATGAGGGAGAGCCTGTGGGTAACAATGGGACCATTAAAGGCCTGCAACTTGCATGCGATGTGGAGGCTGCAAAACCAGGAGAGCGCTGCACGAAGGATGCGGCACCAAAACGAATCACTAATACAATTATCAGCAATAACGGCAGTACCATCAACTATGTCTGTGTCAGCAATGGAGTGACCACTATGGGAATGGACGCTGGTGAGGATGTGGATGAGGCTTGTAGAGTCATCGTGGGAAGTCGCAATCAGACGGACCGCGAACAAAGATTGGCAGTGTAGCAACTATATTTTGGATTGAAGGCGAAGGCGAGAGGCGGAGAGAGTTAAAGGTCCAGGAAGGCGCTCAAGCAAAATATGCGCGCGAATATTTCAGCCCTGTCAAGATGCTAAGACAAAAAGAAAATGGATGGAATACTTCTAGGGCTATATATATATATATATGTGTTGATGGCGGGTGAAGTAAAGGGGAACAAAAATCAGAGAATATACGTTTTTTTTTTTAATTGTCGTTCCCAACACACCTTTAAAAGCGGCAAGAAGTACACATGTGTGCCTGTGCAGGGGTGTAGTTCATCGCAGCAATGCATATGCGCATGTATACACTTTCGACCACACACACACACACACAATATTTTAGTAACCCTTTACCCCGCTCACGGGCGCACACAAATCCACTTACACAAACACTCCATGTCCTCCTGTAGATCATCGCCAATAATATTGTTGAAACACCTTTATTCAGTGTGATAGTAGCTTCTATCCTGTAAAGGGGCATGGGACGGTAGCGGAAATAGCTGTTGAGTGTCACGAGGGACGACTCGGATGGGTTCATTTCTGCTTTGTGTGGATGGGTTGTTGTTTCCCATTTCCTTCTACGTTTAGGTTATGTGTGTGTGTGCGTGTGTGTGTGATTCTCCTCTTGTGTGTGGCGATGTTTCTTGTCATAGTGGTGTGCCTTGGGGGGCTCTCACTATCGGAGGGGATTATCATGGGGGGCTCCATTTGTGTTGTTGTTTTTTTATTATAATTATTATTACCCACGGCCACTTTGGTGGAGTGCAGCGTGGTAGAACCGGTAAGGTGGTGTGATCCGTTGTCTTTGAGATTGATGATGATGATGATGATGATAGTGTTTTCCTAGCTTACCTTTGGTCCCTCCCTCCCTCTCTCTCTCTCTCTCTCTCTCNGGGGGGGGGGTCGGTTGCATTTGGGGCCCTTCTTGTTGTGTAAATCCAGATATGGTCCCTCCGTTTTATTTTTATCTGTATTTTTGGTGCAGCGGGCACATGATGGCGCGGCAGTTGTGGGAACGAAAGAGCAAATCCACAACCTCGGGGCAAGAGTGTGCTTCCGTTTCTTTTGTGCCTGAACCTGTTAATTGTGCTCAGACTTAACCTTTCGCGTCTGGTTCGTGCTTCAGATCATTGTTGGGTCAAGCCGCATCGCTGAGCACCCAGGGAGGCATCTTCCTTCTTTGTTCTTGTGACGTGTGTGTGTGTTTTACTTTCTGCTTTTCACTCTTATTTTCTCTTTAGTTGTTGGTGGTGTTGATGTCCCTCTTTGTTTACTCGCGTATTTGGTGTGGTGGTTCTCCCTCTCCCTTTCTCTCTCTCTCTCTCTCTCTCTCGCACACACACTCTCTCTTTCCCTGTGTGTTTGTTTGTTTGTTTGTTTCCTTCAGTTTTCATCGACGCAATCAGCCCACTCCCGCGCCTCGCCTCGCCTCTGCACGTGGTTTTCAGAGTCGAATAAAAGGGCCGTGGACCACAAATGACGGGGAGAGATGAAGAAGAAGCACATTTACTTTCATTGTTTTGTTTTGGCTCCTGATGATGTGATTTGTTTCTTGTACTGTGTTGCCTGCTTATGACACCGCCACCCAGTGGGCGGGTGTACTGTCTCCTCCCTGAGTGGGTCTCCACATCGCGCCCCCGCTCCGCTGCCGTCGGCACTCGCGTCTCAAGCACGCACTCGTCGTTCTGCTGATTTCTCTCTCTCTCTCTTTCTTTCTTTCTTACTCTCCCTCCCTCACTCCCCGCTCCCAACTACACACTCACGCATATCAAAGCGCAAAGAGGAAGGATAAGAACTCTTCTCCTGTTCTTTGCCTTGAACCCCTTCGCACATCTGTATGTTTTACTCGGGCTGGAAGTTTCCCACACCGCAGCGTCTGGCTGCCAGCGGGTGTCAGCAAGACGCCAACTACTTTGTCCAGGAGACCTGCAGCCCCGGCATCTGCCTGCTTCACTCTATCGCTACGAGTCGGTCGCCGGGTGGGTCGAGCGCCAACGCGGCGTCGCGACGGGACTCCAATGGGCGCATTCATCTCAAGAGCGACGTGCCTATTCACCCGAACAGCGGCGTGTTTTACTTCGAGGTTGAGGTGCGCTCCACCGCAGCGGGGGCTGGGGACGCCAGCAGCAGCGGTGGCGGCGGACTGGCCGAGCCGGAGCTGGTCATTGGGGTCTGCCGCGAGTCTCTTCCACCGCATTCGCTTCCCGGTGAGGAGGCGTGCAGCATTGGCCTCTTCACCGCACAACGCATGGTGTATATGAATGGTAGGAGCGAGGGAGAAGCGGTACGCTTCCCCGTCGGGTCACGTCCACGCAACAGCAGTTGCAGCAGCAACGCATCCGGGCCGCAGGAAGAGCGTCGGACGAAGGGAGTCAGGGTGGGTGATACTGTTGGCTGCATCGTCAACCTCCTCGATGGCACAGTGCAATTTACCTTCAATGGTGAGCTCCTTGACGTTGGGGCCACACTAAGCCGTAGCATGCCGAGCAAAGGGTACTATCCAGCCGTGGGTATGTTTCGCTTTGTGCCTGCAGTATCACTGCGGGTCGTATTTCAGCCGTCCGGAAGGTCCGCGTCTATCCCGCGACCCGTCACCGCAGTAACAGGAACGGAAGAAGAAGAAGAACTAGGAGTCAGGAGTCCACTGCCACCCCAGCAAGAAACAATGACGGCAGCAGCGGGTTATTTCGTGTTTAATTTGGACAAGTACTGCGAAGGTATCGCAGAGGAGTTGCTGCGCATGTACCGGCAGAAGGCGGCGGAAAGCGAAGAAGGTGGCAGCTGCACGTGTCGTGATGCAAAAATAATTGCAGCAATTCGCAAACACTTAGCAGCGAGGGGTATGACTAAGGCGCTCTCCGCCTTTGAAAAGGAGCAGGAAGAGCTGCACTGCTCTAGCACCCCTCTTGACGGTGGTGCAGCGGCACATAGCAATGAGGATTCGGGTGCAAAGAAACCCAATGACCGCGGCAACAAGGCGTCAGGTTCTGGAAGTCTCGAGGATCTCACGGCAAAGGAGACGCACACTGCCTATAGTCTTCACATAAAGCAACTGCTCGAGGACATTGGACGTGGCGACATGCTCTCCGCCACACACCGTATTATTGACTCCGGTGTCATCTCCCCACAAACGCTTGAAAGGCTCGTCTCCGCCGTGGAGGACGTGACGGAGTTGAGTGGCGACTTCTGGGGTGTCATATTCTTCGCCCAGCGGCGCGACATATTGTTTTTGCTGCGCGCCGCCTACTTGGTGGAAGTTGCCCTCAACGCGATGGAAAAGGGGCTCTCGGGGCTACTGGCACATGTAACGCAGACGGAGGAGCAGCGGACCCCTGAATCGCTCAACACCGCGGAGTTCATGCAGATCGCGTTCCGCGTCCTCCTCGAGCCCTTCGGCGAAGCGTCGGCACTTGTGAAGCGCCAGCAGCGCGCCTCGATGAACAGTGACGGCTACAATGGCGGTGTGCGGACCATCGACGAGGCGGCCTTCGGGATGCTAGACGGGACCCTTGCCGCGAGCGAGGCTAGGTGGCCAGGTGAAGACCTCGCCGCACACCTCTTCTTCACAGGGATGAAGACGCTCTGGTCGGGGCCGGAGGGCCCGGTCACAATGTTGGTGCGCCGGAGCGTGCCGAGCGTGCCGCCGCCCAACTCAAAGCAGCAGCAGCGCCTCGTCCAGACACTTTCCATGCTGGTGTCGCACCAGCATGCGGTGTGTGCGCGAGTGATGCAGCAGCAGCAGCAGCAGCGGAATATTTCACACGAGTGGATACAAGATTGGGTGGCACTTGTTGAAGAAGCCAGGGCTATGTACCGCGCCCGCTGCTGGTGCCTGCTGCTGCACGCCATTGAGGACTTCAACGGCGCCCTCGAATACCGCCTGCTTGTGTGGCTGCGCAAGCGTGAGTGGGAGTTGCACGAGGCTGAGAAGGGTGGTGGTGTGGGGAGTGCTCAAACGCCCGGGAAGGCACAGAGCAGTGGTGGCCGGCGCCTGTTCCCATCCTTGCGGGCCGTCTGGCGCCACGTCCACGCCGCAGCCGCAATGGAGCCGCTACTCCACGTCGTGACCAATGTCTTCAGTGACAAGCTTCATCGCGCTACGGCGGCTGCGCAGTTCGCCGTAGCGGCGGCCGAGTCGAAAAATACGCCATCGACACCGTTTGGTAGGGGGCCAAAGCGGGGGCTGTCCTTTGCGTCTGTCTTCGCCGCTGACGGCGAGGGGGAGGGCAGCGACGAGGAGGCGGAGGCGGTGGCGGCAGGGTCACATGCCGCTACGCCCAGCAGCAACAACGGCGGCGCCGAGCCGCCGAGGCGGCTGTCATGCTACAACGACGATGTTCGCTTGAGTTTCCTGTATATGAAAAGTATATACAGAGCAGTTTTTGCGTAGACGCAGGAAAAGGAAGAAGCTAGTCGTGTCAACTTCCAAATACCTCTGCGTTTGCGTGTTTGTTGCCTTCAGAATTATTATTACTATTGTTGTCGTTGATTTTTTCTTTTTGCTCGATGTTTAGTGTCTGTTCTCAACGAGGCACGCATGCGCGGTGCCCCCTCCCCCGTTTCTCTCACTCCGCACGTACCCCTTTCGCCTCCGACCCGGCGGGCTGCGGGCGCGTGGACGCCGCCAGCACGCAGCAGGAGGAGTGGGACGTGTGCCGTTGCGGCACGAGCAACAGCAAAAGGGAGCTGAGCACAGGAAAACAAGAAACAAACCAAAAAAAAAAAAAGGAAGAGGAAAAAAAAAAGCAACCGTGATCTCGCCTTACCAGTTGTGCCCAGTTGCGCGCTGCTGCGGGTGGATGCGCGGTGTCGCTGTCTGCCTCACCAACGCCCCGCGCACACATACACACATGCATCTATTTCCCTTCCTGCTGTTTCTTGGGTGCCTACGGTTGTTATTGGCCGCACACGAACACACACACATAGAGAAGAGAGAGACAGAGAGAAAAGAAGATGTGCGGTGGCGGGACGGCGAGCGCAGGTGACGCCTCCCCGCCGTGGAGCCTGACGGTGTGACGCGTGGCAAGGAGGAGTGCAGGACGAAGAAGAAGAAGAAGAAAGAAAAGCCGGGAGGGGACGCTCACGACGACAGCGGCAGCGATGCAGTGGGGGAGAAGGCGGCGAAGAAAAGGGACGAATCGGTGGGCCGTGTGAGAGGCGGCGGCCCCTTCGTCGCCATTGCGACGGACGACAACAACAACAACGCGGAAAGACAGAGCAGCAGAGAAGGTGCCATGACTGCACGTTGTGGCGATGAGTTAGCGGCTCCTCAAGCGTTTCACGTTGAGGCAACCGTGACGTTGCCGCTAGAGCCCCTGCTTCGCCAAGTCGCGGATGCCGCATGGAGCCGCAATGAAGAAGTTAAAGACAACAGATCCGCCGATGTGGATGCAATTCACTGCGAGGACAATACACATGTCCCACCCACTGTGTTGAATGGGCTGTCGGACGCGCATGCTGCACCGAGGGCTAAGGTCGGGGGTAAAGAAGAAANCACTGATTGCGCTGAGCGGTTCAGCGGAGACGGAGCAATGTCAGTTCCACCAGATGCGGAAGAACATGAGGACACCGTGGCCACGGCAATGGTTGCCGCCGAGCTTGTCGGATAGCGGCATCACTTCACTTGGCACTCACGCGCCAGACGCATCACTGTCAACAATAGCAACAGCCGCAGCAAAGTACGCGGTGAGGAGAAGCAGCAGCAGAAGCAGGGAGGTGGACATGTTGGTGGAAGTGTCACGCCAGCACCTGGGTGGTGGTCGGATAATCCTGTTTACGACATTGTCGAACTCGCACCGTCCACGCATGCCTCCACAAGGGTGCCGAGTGTAACGGGTGTGCATCAGCCGCTGCCACTTACCTCGCCTGTGTCAGTGGGGAATGACCCTTCCCAGTCGCTCTCATTGTCGAACAGGGCGAAGCAGGGAGGCGCCGCTAGGAAGGGCACAAGGTCCGCGGCGGTGCTAGTAGCGGCGCCAAGAGGGGGCATTGTGAAAGCCTCGCCACAAAAAAAAATGCGTGAATCTTTTTTTTTGGATGTGTCATCAACTGCCCCCGCATTCTTTAGCGCTGGATGCGGAGTTTGAGGCCGCAGCAAGGCGATTTCATGGTAGTGTGAGGGAGAGTGATTTGGCCACCCCGCAACAAGAGCAGCGGCAGCAAGAACAAGAAGAACAATTGCATGATCGAGGCAGCACAACAGGCCTGTTGTGGAGAAATGGGGCTCGGGTAGAAGCTGTGGGAAATCTGGTACGTCTCTCCCGTAAAACACAAACACAGTGCGAGGCGGACATAACACAGTACCTGTGGCCTGAAGAAAGGCTCTTGTGGTATTCCCTCAAGGAGAAAATGGCGCTCTTGCAGGAGCGTACCGCAGAGTTGGCAAGCTGAATCAATCAATAGGACGCTCAGTGCTCGGACTTGACAAGCGGCACGCAGAAGAGCCTGGAACTCATTCAAGGCAAGAAGCATCTCGCTATGAAGGAGTGGGAAATAGCAGCAGGGGTCTGCTGGGAATACTTCAGAGTACAACTATTGAGAAGAGCACATGATCCTCTGGGATATTCTGTGCTACCGTCGCTGTGGTGCTAAACCGGATGTGAGTGCAAGGATGCTGTTTTGTTTTATTATCGTTTCACAGTGGAGAGGGGAGTTTGTATAGTGCTGTACATTTGTGTGGTCATGGATGCGCAGGGAGTGCGGCGTTAAGTGTTCTTTGTATTGCTTCGCTTCCCATATGGGTCGTGTGGAGAGGACTCACGGATATGTCTTCTTCCTCATCTGTTGTTTATTTTTATTTTATTTTTTCTTACCCCACTCTTGACAACTTCAAGTGTCGTTGGGTGATACAACAGAGGGACGACGCTGAGGCAGGCCGGGTGGGTCTTTACTATCGATTAGTTGGTTCTTAATACTCCACAGGGCTCTAGAAGAAAGGGAGAAGGGCCAGGCCATATTTTTTAAAAACAAGTGCGATTAGTTTTCGGTAGGAATCCACAGGATGGGTGATGCTAGCACTACTTCCAGTGGCGGCCAGGCGTTGCTGCCTGTTATTAGCCTAACTGAGGGCTTCGTGAAGTGTCTCCACATGCCGCACAAGCACGTTCATCACCTGCGACCGGTGTTTGCCTGCCATGTGGCGCGCCACTCATCGGGCGTGTTCCACGATACCTGGCTGCCGCGCGCTCTCATCGTTACACAAACCGGTCATTTGGTACTCTGCGACACCAGCGACGGGCGTGTCACTCACGAAGCCTCACTACGCTTCCGTAAGGCCCCTGTTGATACGACGGCGGAGGACGAAGTGGGCCAGCCCCTTGTGCACGTGGTGCTGGAGCAGCGGACCGAGAAATCACTGAACTCAACGCTGTGGATGCGTATCAGCGTAGACAACTCGATCTTCGCCGCCATTCTCCGCTTCCATGGGCCGTTTCAAAATCTGCCGTTGGCACTGATTCGGGTTATTCTGCATTTCGTACCCAAGCAGCACGTGTCGCTTCAGAAGTACGCACAGCAGCGACCGCTTGTCAAATTCATCCCGAAGGAGTTGTGCAGTCTCTCGAGCGCGAAGTACGATGATGGCAACAGCAGTCCTCGCGGCGCCCCGTCGACGCCGCGGTCGTCCAGAAAACGCTACATGGCACAGGTCGCCGTTGAGGAGCGGCTGCGGCTGCGGGCGCACCGTGCAGAAATGGCGGAGCAGCAGGTTGCGCCGGAGGAGGGGCCTGCCGCCGCACGGGTCACCGCAGAGGAGGTAGTGGAGGTGCCACCGCACGAAACCCCCTCGCCTGCGCCGACCACCCCGCGGCAGGAGGAGCACGATAAAATGGAGAAGTCGCACCACGCCGACGCGGACGAGGAAGCGCTGCTGCCCCTCCTTGCGGAGGAGGAGGAGAAGCCACCTGCCCCTCTCAAAGCGTCCCTACTGGAAGCAGTGGTATTCTCGGAATGCGAATCCCCATCATCGCCTTTTGACGAGGAGCGGAGACGAAAGGAAAGGGTTGAGGTGGGGTTTCCCGCTGCCCCCTTCAGGGAAGGTGTGGACGAGCATGGCGCCAGGAAAGAAGACATGCCCTCTGAGGAGGAGACGATAAACAAGACAGAAGAAAAGGTATGTGATTCAAAGTCACACAAGCACAACGATACGTGTGCAACGTCAGAGGTCGAGTATACAAGAAAAGACGGCAATGGAAACAATGAGTCTGAGCGCCCCCAGTCGAACGATATCACGGCTTCTCTACAGTTGACAGCGCCTATTGTGGTGTCACCACAAGCACGAAAGCAACGTGCAGTAGAGCAAGTGGTCTACAAAGAGACCTCATCACGGAGGTCTCCATCGACGGATAATGTGGGACATGCCTCCACGGACACGATGGACAGCCCCGTTGACGTGCTCAACAACGTGGAGCTTCCGCCCTCGCCCTCGCCCCCACCCTTGGTGTTGGGCAGCACGGCGGGACAAGTGACGAATGCCAGCGCCCTGTTAACACCAACAGAGGGCCGACGCGACGCGACGGGGTCCCCTCCACAACAGGTCACTCCCGCTCTTGAGCCGGCGTCAGTGCATGAAGATCCCGTTCTGCGGGCTCTGTCAGCAAATGGGGCTCACATCCTGTCCACACACACCCTGCAGCGCCCACTTGCGGACTACCGCAACAACGCCGCAGAGTTTGGTGACGAAGAACACCGGTGGCGTCTTTTCTACCAGAAAAACCTTGGCAAGAAGTGCGAACCACGCCCGTACAGGAACTCACCGACGGAGATCTACGCCCGTGGTTCAACATCTCCTTCCCGCTATAGGATAACCGGCAGCACACTCACAACTATGATGGGAACTTCCATAGTTCCCCTAGCGATGTCGTCTCCCTGTTCCCCATAATGCGGGGTAAACAGCTGACTAGTTATAAAGTTCACATACGAATGCATCTACAAGAAACACCTCACCTCATTCTTAACTTCTGTCTGACGTTATTTTCTTTTTTACCGCTTACACCGTAAGAACTGCACAGACAAGATAACATACGCCCAAGAAAGAACCCGCCGCTCCTCCACTCCACTGTCTTTATCTGTTCTGTCCTCGCATTTTTTTAATAGTTTCTTCCTCTCCTCCTTCTTCGGACAATAGTGCCAGTGTAGACCCCATGGAAGTCTTAAGTATTGCAGGCCGAAAGGGCCGGCGGCCTGTTCGCAAGGCGTTTCGCTCCCGAAGCCACAAGTGTATTTGCGGGGCTTTGTTTTTACTGGTGGTGGTTGTGCTTATGCTTAGCACCTTCCAGTTTAATGGGTGGTCTTTTCAAGACCTTGGCGATGATCATGAGACACGTTTCCCCGCGGGCCTGTTGAAGCGGGGCCCTGGGGGAGGGACCCTCCTGGAGGTGCGCCCGCGGAACGGTGATCAACCATTGCGGCTCTCCCGGCTCCGTGAATTCTGCTCCCAGTACGCGCCGGGACTGCAGATGGCCGAGTGGTCTGGCTGGAACCTCACTCGGTTCCCTGCAACACTGAACAAAAGCGATTTCCAGATACCACCATGCCCTCTCCTCCCGAAGCCAGTGTGCTTTCGCCATGATGTGGTGTACTATGATGGTGCGGACGTCGACTCACGCCGAGACCTTAATAGAACGGGTGTTCGCGTTGGGTTTGTATGGAAGGACCTGACTAGTGCGTCGCTTAGACAGCTGCAGGATGGCACATCCATTGAGAAATTGACCGTTGTGCCCGCGATGGGACTTATTCCATTGGGGCGCTCTGTGTTGGGTCAGCTGTACCACATCATGAACGATTTAGTGAAACCGGTGATGACTCTCATGGCAGACGAGGAAAGCGAAACATCTGGGAGAGTGTACACCGAGCTGGGGAGGTCGCCCACACAGTTCTTCACGTTCCCACATAGGCGTCTGATGTGGCCAAGGGCAAAACTCAGGCAAGCGGTGCCACAAACGGCGCACTTCATGGGCGCATTTTCCCATCCCACAGCACCCCTGCATTACTTCTTCGAGGAAGCCCCTGTGTTGAACAACAACACTGTGTACTGCACCTGTCAGGCAATCATTGCCGGACGTATTCGGCATGATGATTCACCTGGGCGGAAGCAGACAGCATTTCGTCTTGCCTCTGAACTGGTGCTGCGGTACATGAACGAAACGCCCTACGAGTCTGTTTCCGGGACAGCCGGTGGTGGTTCACGGCGAGTGGAGAGAGTGCCGCTGCCCATCCTGCGCCGTTTCAGCCACGTGCCGCACATCGCGCAACGCTTCTGGACGACGGAGGCGGAGGCGATGAACGGCACGACGGTGGTGGTGCCATCCTACCGACCCAGGCTGCTGCTCATCGACCGCCGGAGGCGCAAGGTGCATAACACGAGCGGCTTAGTGGCTCTGGCGGAGCGCGTTGGTTTTAACGTCCAGGTGGTGCGGTTGGAGAGCATGTCGCTGGAGGAGCAGTACCACGTTGGTCGTCACGCTGACGTCATGATGGGCATGCATGGTATGGGGCTGACGCACGTCCTGTGGATGGATGGGCGCCGGCGAAGTGGCTGCCGGGCGTTGATTGAACTGATGCCCTTTGGCTGTCCCCAGAAGCTTGTGCATTTTTACAGTGCCTTTTCCGCGAGTGTGGGGGTTCATTATGAGCACATGGAGGCCGCCGACATGTACTTCGAGGACGGTCCAAAGGCCGCCAATATTACGAGGGAGCAGGAGACTCAAGAAATAAAAAGTCGCATGCTGACATGCAACTTTAAGTGGAGTTATCGTGGCTTTGCCGACCAGACTGCCGTCTACAATATGTCAGCAGTGGAGGACCGTCTGATGGCGGTGTACACGCGACTGACGGAGTGTGGTATAGTGTAAATGATCGTTACCAGTGGTTCCGGTCTTGAGTGACATGACTCTATGGCTTGAGTCTCGCCTTGGAGTGGGGAGTGTGCAAACGTGATGCTTTGCACACACCGGAGCAGCGCCCGCGGCGCGCATATTCAGTGGATTTCTCGTCGGTGAGGTCATGTCGTGTCCTGCGACTGCCCGCCCTCGCATTTTTTAATAGTTTCTTCCTCTCCTCCTTCTTCGGACAATAGTGCCAGTGTAGACCCCATGGGAGTCTTGAGTATTGCAGGCCGAAAGGGCCGGCGGCCTGTTCGCAAGGCGTTTCGCTCCCGAAGCCACAAGTGTATTTGCGGGGCTTTGTTTTTACT